AAGTCCGATTAATCAGAAATACATACAAAAGGAATTGACGTTCCCCCATTAATAAATGTAATTTATAAAAAAACATATTCTTTGTTCTGCGTGTTACCTTGAACGGGCTTAGCCTGAAGCTTAATTAACAACAATTTTATTTTAAATAGAACCAGTTCATTTAATTTTTTTTTTCTAATATTTTAATCAGTTAAAAGCAATAAGCTTTAACTATCTATTGCGACTCATATCTAATTTAAACTTATAGAACATAAGCAAAAATAATTAATTATTCGGTTTTTCTAACAGAAATTAATGCATGCCTATTTTTTACCTCAAACTTAAACCTTAATTTTGTACCTAAAGATATTGATTTTATGTTTTGTAGTCCAGAAAATGTCTGTATGTACGAAGGTGATAAATATTTGAAAAAATAATTATCTAAACGAACTTTTAGTAAAAATTTGTTTGCTAATTTTGTTGGATATCGGAGCCTACAGTCTGTTCGCTATGCTTACGCGGGTTTCGGATTAACAAAATTATGCAAATTAGTCATTGACAACCAGTTCCAATAAGCCCCTTCCCAAGAAATTAGATAAAATTGCCCTAATGGTCAGATTTGATTAAAATAACATTAGGGTAGGTACTAAATTTGTTACAAATATAAAATAATAATAATAATAATAATATTTATTGCTTCTAAACCTGAGTTACAGCAATGAGTACAGATATAAAAAAATTAGATCTTAAAACATAAAAACAACATTATTCTTCCAGTACAAAAGAGCGCAATTTTAATATATTCCAAATATATTCAGCAATTTTCCTAGCTTCAAAAATTGTTATATTTTGTAAAGTATGCAGCAATGAGTTTACATTTTCAAGGCAAGCGATATTTTGCTTCATTGTTGAGTAAATAGGGCAATCAAAAAGTATGTGAAAAATTGTTTCTTTTTCATGTGTATTACACACAGTACAATCTAGTTCGGGGTCAATAACATAACTAATACCATTTAATGTAAATTTAATCCTAAAATGGTTGGACATACGCAATTGAGCAAGAGTACGGGTAACCTGGATTGGTAATTTAAAGAGTAAGTATGTACTTGGTTCACAAGATGTAGGAACATAATTATATAAATATATAAAAGGATAGCGAGACGCTATACTAACATCTGAATCATGTAAATGTGTAAAATACTTGGAAAACAATTCTTTTCTATATGAACTAAAAGAAGGATGGTTTAAATTGTTCCATTTATGAACACAATCAATATCAACCAAGAACTTTTTCAACTGTACTATCCAGTTATACTTTATATCTGTAGAGTTGATCAAACGCAATTGTTGTTTAAAACAAAGCTTTGGATATCGATGATTATCCATTGTCATTATTTTTTGTATCCAATTAAGGGACATTTTAAAAATATTAAATGCAAACTTTACTCTTCCAGTCTCTAAACGGATTATAGCATCAGGAGTAGTGATGGGAACTAAAAGAACTCTTTTAAGGAAATATAACTGGACTCTTTCCAATACATCTAAGTATCTTAGGCCCCAAACAGAAATACAATTAAACATAACACTAAGGGCAAGTGACTCAAATAATTTGATTCTAGGATGCCAAGTATTAATTTTAGCTTTCGACATTATCGGAAGGAGAGAACCTATAGCCTGTTTACCTTTGTTGGCAGTAAAATGAGCCATTTCATTAAAAAGACCTGATGAAGTAAATACTACTCCTAGATATGTATATTTGTTACAAATATTGCAGTTGAATTGATTCTTTGCAAGTGTTGACATTGTATGTATATTGTAAATTTAGTGGAAATTTTAAAAATGCCTAGACGTATGTGTTAGATGTAGATAGTCTAATTTGTAGTGTACATAAGTATTTTACGGATGAAAAAGAAAATGGCGGTCCTTTAAAATCGGTAATGTCTGTACAACAACGCGTATGCGATGCTCTAGGAATTAGTAAAACCAAATTAAGAGGAGTATTACAAAATCACAATGGTGAACTGCTGAGAAAATATCACCGCAAAACTCGCCCATCATTGAAAACGAAAGATATTCCAGATGGAAAGAAATTTGAAATTCGTGATACCATTTATCGAATGAGGGCCAACAAGGAACATGTGACCTTAAATACAATTCTCTCGGAATTAATAGATAGAAAATTTGACAAGTCTATGACAAGTGATACATAACTTGGTTTCAAATTTCAAAAGAAGGATAACAAAAAGGCCCTTTGTGAAAGAAGTTCTGTCGTGCACAAGAGAATTAAATTTCTAAGAAAAAATTCTAAATTTAAAGAAAAAGGGGCGAATTTTATATATTTAGACGAAACATGGATATTTTCTAGGGATGCAACCAAGAGAATATGGCAAGATGATAACGTAAAGTCCATCAAACATACCGATGGAGAAGGGAAGCGACACATAATTTTACATGCAGGAGGGAAATCGGGTTTTATAGAAGGTGCTGATTTAATATTTTCATCTAAATCAAAATCCTGTAACTATCACGATAATATGAACACAGAAATGTTTGTAAAATGGTTGAATGAAAAACTTTTCAAAGGTTTAAGTGGGCCCAGCGTAATTATTTTAGACAATGCACCTTACCATTCTGAAGTATTAAACCAAAGTTCGACGAATTCTTGGACTGTTGATAAAATTAAAGAATGGTTGACAAAGGAACATATACCATTTCCTCAATATATATTAAAATCAGAATTATTACGCTTGGCAAATATACACGCAAAAACAAAAACCTTTGTTGTGTTTTAGATTATTAAAAGTTACCGCAAAACCAAAAACCTTTGTTGTGGATCAGATTATTAAAAGTTACGGTTATCAAGTTTTACGTCTGCCACCATATCATTGCCAGTTTAATCCCATCGAATATATATCGGGAATAGCAAAACAATATTATGACAACCATATTGGGCCTAACGGTTATAGTGACGACGAAGTTCGGGAAACTTGGCGAAAAGCACTTTCAATTGCAACTCCAGAAGTGTGGCAGAACTGTATATCCAAGTGCGAGAAACTAATAGCAGATTGGTGGACTCGTGAAAATAAAATAAACGAAATAAGTCCAATAATAATAACAATTAATGGTGATGACAGTGATGATAATGACGATTATGATATTTTGGATGATAATGACTGATTTTAATTTTTCTTGGCAAGTTCAATTTTTTTATTTTTCATACATTTTTATGTTAGAAAATATTTTATTTGAGCTAAATAACCCTCTTATTATACATAGACCATATTTTCTGTGTGAAGCGTAATATAAAATTATTATTAGGTTTATAATAGCCACATTAGACTCCATTAATGAAGAAGTTTAATTCTGCTCTCAATTATACAAAAGATTCTCCATTATTATTTAATTAAAAAGTTGTACATTATTTTTCATTTCAACCAGTTGATATTTCCCCAAAGAACAGGTCAAACTTTCGGGTACTTACCTGGAAATACTCATAATTTTGTTAATCCGAAACCCGCGTAAGTATAGCGAACAGACTGTACCTACTTTTTCGTACTTTGTTAAACTGATTTTTGCTTCTACCAAGTTACCACGTTACTTTTTGCACACACTGTATAATTAAATAAACAATTCTGAATTGTAATGATTTTTTTTAATATTTATTTTACCTTAGTTATTGACCTATAGAACAAAACTTAATGGCTAGAGTAGGAACGTCTCTGAGTAGAGACGGCCACCTGCTGATAAGTAAATTACCTGCTGTTTCATTGTAGTCACTAGATCTCTGGTTTAACTATACTAGTAATGTGAATAAATATTGAAGTATTATTCTAAAGTAAAATTTGATGTTTTTTTTTTATTTTTGTCACATTTAACCTACTTACTACTTTGACATATTAATTCTTCTTGTTACAGTGCAATTATTAATTGAAACTAAATATCGCCAAATATATTTATTGGTATCTATGTACCTAGATTTGTCAACCTGGATATAAAAACAAGTACACTTAAAAATAAAATTATAAATCGAGCTAGTGATACAGTTATCGCCATCTATGTACAATGAATACTTGCTTTGTTACAAAACCGCTGGCGCAAGTGTCTCAGATTTAACTTAAATAATTTATATTTTATAATAAATATAAATATTCAGGGATGCTAAATAATAAAAGTAATCCTAATAAACCCTCAGGTAAGAAATGTAATTATATATAACTAAAATTATTGGGGGTAAACAAGTTATGGCAAAACGATAGGGGGCGAAACGTTCAAGGGTGAAACAGAGGGGACAAAACAGTGGGGGTTAAACGCTGGGGGCGAAATGTATAATAATCAAAAATGTTAACTCTTACTTTCATGTTATGAACCAAACGACATTTTAAAACATAGAAGGCTACCTTTCCTGATAACGCCTAATCCTTCTAAAGCGTTTTATTATATCAATGCAGACTTTTGAACAGGCTTAGCCGTAGTTAATTCTATTGAACTTTAAGTAAAGAATATAAGCTAGGACCGTGGTAAAAGTAGTAGGATAAATAAATCCAAGTAAAAGTGAATAAATTAACGGTGATTAGGTAATAAATTTTTGGTTGGTAGAAGTCCCAACATTATTTGTTATTTTTCGTTGTGTACTCAGTTTGTTAAATAAGAGTGTTAAAATGAATTCCTAAAACAGTAGCCGCAAGTTGTTTAATCAAAAACCACCAGAGCCACCAAGGAAAGGAAAAAACGGAACTTTGTCCCCATGAAAAGAATCCTTATGGAAAAATGTTACCTACACTGTCAACATTTCTAAATTTCTGATCTATGGCCCTACCTACTTCTTATTACAAATTTTTAATATGCAAGGCGTTGAAATTGTCATTTGATAAAATTTAAAAAGGGCTCTCTTCTTAACAAACTACTTTAATTTGTGGCCTAAACCATTTTAATTTAAAAAAAATATATTACTACGAATTGAGAACCTCCTCCTTTTTTGAAGTCGGTTAAAAATATAAAAAATAGGAATATAATTGACTTACCCATTTGTAAAATTGTTGAATTGATCTTTATTAGGTAGAGAGGTTACTTGAGGTAGTACTAAGTCACCATCACGTAATATCTGATGAGTATGTACAGGATGTGAATACGGTGGAGGCGCCTGACCTCTTTCAAGGGTACCGTCCGGTGTATGCATTATTTTTTAACTGAAAAAAGAAAGAAAAACATGGTTTAAACATATATGAAGAGGTTTGGGAGATTCTTTTCATAATATTCAGTTACTATAAGGTATATTTGTTTCTTAAGTTTAAGGTACAAATAAGTATTGGGTTTTTTTAAATTAAAGATGGTGCTAAGTACTATTCAATGAAATATATGTTTATTAAGTACTTGTACAAACTTTAAATAGTGAATCTTTGACTAATTTTAAGGCAAAAAGTTCATATGAACACGTGTCCTAAACCTCTTAACTTTTGTGCTAATGGTAAAGTTTTTAGAAAAAAATCTATTTTTTCCAATGACTGTGAGACTATTGTAGATATCTTTACGAAATTTGGTACACGTATACTATGCATTAAGATGCATTTTTTGATGTACAAATTTATGTTTTCTACCAGTGGCGTCCATACCTACGGGGTTTGTATTGAATATTTTTGCAGAAAAAAATAGTATGTCACTGCTTCATCTTAAAACAAAAATTATTTTTGAAATCCTCATTTCTTTTTAAACAAATTTAATCTCTTTAGTTTTTTCGTTCGGCGCATAGTTTACGCTTTAAAAAATAAAATCCGTTTTATTTCAGAGTCAAATTGCTAAAATGTACAATTGTACATACATGTATAGCAAGCCTTGCAAACAACCGAGAGATTTCCATGGTAGCGGAATCAGTCATGACAGTTTATTTAAAAAAAAGATCATGGTTTTTGTTATTTAAAAATGTATGTATGTAAAAATTTATTGTCTATTATTGTGTTCAAAATGTACGAATATACCAATGCAGAAATGGCAGACATTCATTTCGTCTACGGAATGGCTCACGGTAATGCACAAGCTGCAAAGAGAATGTATCAAGCCCGATTTCCTCAACGGGTGGTTCCACATGTCCAAACTTTCATTAATATTCACGCAAGACTTTGTGAAACTGGCAGCTTTAAAAGAACAATTGATATCCCAGGACGGCCTGCGACAGTTCGAACAGTTGAAATTGAAGAAGCTGTGTTAAATAGAATTGAAGAAGACCCGCAAACTAGTACAAGGAAAATTGCTCATGAATTGAATATTACGCATACAATTGTGTGGAAAATTTTAAAATCTCAAGAACGTTATCCTTATCATATTCAACGTGTACAGGCATTACTACCACCCTGTAGCTCAAAAGTTAAGAGGTTTAGGACATGTATTCATATGAACGTTTTGCCTTAAAATAAGTCAAAGATTCACCATTTAAAGTTTGTACAAGTACTTAATAAACACCCTGTATATTACGTTTTAGAAAAATTCGTGAAATAAAACAATAATTTCATTACTGTGTCCATGTTTGTAACATTTATTGATATTTCTACATAGTTTTTTTATAAATAATTCGACAAAAAATTGTGGGAATTTGCTTTTACATCTTATAAAATAATTTAAAAAAAAATATGGTTCTTTTTTGTGTATAAATAGCAATATTAAGGCCCAAATATCACGATTACAGTCACATTTTTTATACTAAGAATTTTGCTTTAAAAAAAATGTTTTCTACTCTTTGAGTGATCCTGAATATTTAGTTTGTCTTTATTGTAGTAGATTTTAAAACCCCTAAAATATTTGTATTTAATATTTATCGCAAGCTATCTTACTTTTGAAGATAATAATCGGCCGTGTTACATTACATATCAGCGACCCTGTATATCATAATGCTGTCCATACTAAACCAAACCTACAAAACGTGATAGAATCTATTTACTCAATATATTTGTTATGCCTCACTACGGGGCATTTTCAAGAGAATGGCAAAGGGTCGCTGCAAGTCTGGACAATAAATTACATTACAAGATAAAAAATAATGTGTTTTGCAGGTCGAGACAAGCAGAAACTTGGAGAGAACTGATAAACACAAATTTTCGGTTGCGTGACGTTTTAAGGCGGCAGTTTAAACCTAACCTGTTTAGACTTCTGAGCCGTTACATATCTAAGACACCAATTTTTACTACTTGTAAGCGTTCTGATGAATAGTTCCGAAATAATTTATTGTGTACTCCACGTATTCCTGCATCCTTCAAGGCCTGTAACATTTGAATATGGCACACAGTATCGAAGGCCTTAGCAAGGTCCAAGAATACACATAAAGTTGGGTTACTTTTCTCTAAAAACATTGAGATGTTATATACAAGTTCTCCTATGGCATCAGTAGTTGATAAACCTTCTTTAAATCCGAATTATTTTTCAGAAATTACCTTATTATTTACTAAAAATTTAACAACTCTTTTTAAAATATTTTAGCGAGAGATGTTATGACTGAGATTGGTCTATAGTTGTTTAATTTTTTGTTATCGCCTTTTTTATGTACCGGCGTAATAACCGCTATTTTAAATTCTTGAGGTAGGTACTGTACTTGTAATAAAAATTCTATTTATGATATGACTTGTAGATTTTGATATTATATCTGAGGTTTTTCTAAGTACTTCTGATTTTATATTATCATATCCGGGAGATTTTTTAAGTTTTAATGATCTAATTATTGTTATTATTTCTTTTTCATTCACAGGTAATAAAAATAATGAAGTTTAATTTATTCTCTAAGTGGTGGTGGTGTATTAGGCTTTTTAATTTGTTTTGCATATGATTTACCAACATTAATAAATACGTATTACAGATTACATTGTTTGTGATTATTTCTTTGGGATCTTTTTTTCTGTCATTTACACAAATGTTTTTGACTACATTCCATAGATTTTTTTGGAGTATTTCTATTTTTATTTATTTGGTTTTTATAGTATTTGTATTTAGCTTTATTTATTAATTTGTATAGGTGTGGTATATTATTTTTTTATATTCGTTTTCAGGATCATTTTTAAATTCGCTCTATTCTCTGTTTATTTCATTAACGGAGTTTACAATGCCAGCACTAATCCACTAAGTACGTTTAATATTACACCTTTTTGATTTTTTTATATATGTATTTTGTTTAATTAAAGATTTTAATAAACCAATGAAATTTTTTGTTAAAGCGTTCGCATGCATTTCATTATAAAAGTTATCCCAATTATAACTGTTCAGACCATTTCTTCAGTTATCATAGTTTATCTATTGGGTATTTCTGCTTGTATTATTAGGCGACTCTATTTTTGTTTTCATGGGTATTCCTAGTATTGTTGCTTTATAATCAGTAATATTGTTTTCAAAAACCATGGAAACGCATTTCAGCTCAAAGGTAGGAATTTTACTCTTTAGGAAAATATGATCTAGACCAGTGGTCGCCAACCTCTCAATGTGTTGAGCTACTTTGTTAATTTTGGAATAAACAGCGAGCTACCCACACGGAAGCCACGTAACGCAACGTAAATGAAATAATCCACAGTTAATTTATCATTATATGTATTTATTTTACTATTTAACTGGTAATACATAGGTACTAATAATAAACTAATAACAAAATAACTAATATTACTAGTACGTACTTGTTCATAGCTACATTCCTACCTACCAAACGAAGGTGTTTGAAAAATAAACACAAACTTTTATCCAGCCACAACGGCATGTCACGTAAGATTTAAAAATAGTTAATAATAACAACAAAAAAATAACGCACTATCATGAACATACACATTGAAAAATAAAAAAGCACGTTCAATGAGAAGGCTGACACTCAGACTTATCGATAATTTTTTTAATGTTTGCAGTATAATTTGATGCAGCCATTCGAATACAATTATCCAAATGTTCATCTGTAAGTCGATTGCGATATTTGTTCTTAATAAACTTCATATTGGAAAAAGAAGATTCACACAAATAGGTTGAACTGAATAATGCTTTCACTTTTAAGGCAACACGGCATAGAACTGAATATTTGTCTTTACTTACAATAGGCCAGATACATTTGGTACTTGAGACTAACGATTTTAAGGTTAAATCATTTTGAAACTCAATTACTTCCATTTCTGTTGCAGCGATGGCTTCGCCAAAGTTCTGCATAACACACGTTGCAAACTGTTGGATATCAATTTCCATAAAGGGTGAAACAACAAACTGCGCTACTAAAGCCATTTCGTTGAAATCCTTAAAACGATTTTTGAAGTTATTCTTCAGGGTAGAAACTATTTCTACATGATATTTGCTGTCATAGGGTTCTAATGGATTTTGAGATATTTTTTCTGTTAATTAGGTTTTGTTCCCAAAACTCCAGCTTTTTGATAAATGCTTTTATATCAGAAATCATTTCCGCTAGTTCTTTGTCTCTCCCCTGAAGCTGCAAATTAAGTTCGTTTAATTTCTCTGTAATATCCACGAGAAAACCAAAATCTCTAAGCCAGAATGAATTTTCTAGTTCCGGAGTCGGTTCATCGCGTTGTTTGAAAAATTGAACTATGCCAGATAAGACATCATTAAAACGTTTCAGCACCTGTCCTCTACTTAACCATCGGACTATAGAGTGAAAGAGTAGGTCCCCGTATTGACAGTCAACTTCATCGGCCAAGGTTTTGAATAATCTTCTTTGTAACGCTTGAGCTCTAATCTTGTTCACAATTTTTACCACCAGTTTCATAACGTTGTTTAGTTTCAGGAAATTTCCACATAATGCTTGCTGATGGATAATGCAGTGGTAACAGAGAAATTTTGGAAAAGTTTCATCTTTACGACATAACGCCACCAGACCCTTATCACAACCCATCATAGCTGGAGCGCCATCGGTTGTCAAGCCTACCATTTTCGATATTGGAATTTTCTTGGAAGAAATAATATTTATTAAATGAGAAAACAACTCCTGTCCAGTAGTGTGTCCTTTCAGTGGAATAAACTTCAAAAGATCTTCTTTAATCGTAAAATCACTAAAAACCATCCTGACGAACACGGCCATCTAGGCAGTGTCAACGACATCTGTTGATTCATCCAGTTGAAGTGAAAACACAGTTATCTAAGTATTATCACAGTATTACCAGAAAGTTGCATAGATTTTATAGCTGAAACTATTTCGTCTTTATTTCTAAAGTTGGCAAATAACGAA